TGCGTAAAATTACCTTGCCGTAGTTCTGACAGCGCCAAAAATTAAAAGAACAGAATTGTTTTTGCACGAAATCAATTTGAAAACACGATTCTATCACCAGAATGAAAGGAGGACAACTCATATCGAGTTATACTTATTATAAAACCCAGGTTGGTTGGTCGTGCGTGTGTGTGTGTTCGTTTATATATGGGATCAGATTTCCTACATTTTTCAAACCGATTTCAACAAAACTTCACTTTTTTTTTGGCAGGTAGTGTTTTATTGTCTTGCACACTTTTTTTCTTTTATTTTACATTCAGAATACTTTTAAAATTCCATTTACGAAACAATTGTTTATAATAAAATTCAATTCAATCGATAGACTCATAACGATTGAAAACAATGTTTTTGTTTGAGTTTGGGTTTGAACAATTCATAACAAAAAAAACCAAAAAAAACTAATTAAGACATGCTTGTCCATCAACCTTAAACAATAATCTTTGTCAATTTTATTTTTCAGTCTTTATGATGGTCGATATTTGATCTATCTCTTATTGTTACATCCCCAAGCAACGCCGGCTCAATTCAATATATATATATATATATATATATATATATATATATATATAATTGTTTATTTAAAAAAAATATTTCAAAACTTTTAAAACCATTTATTTTACATTCAACATCATCATTTGATAAGACACCGGAGGTGTTGAAACAAAATGGCTATTTTTGTAATGATTTTATAACATATTTATGTTATAACTATTTTAAATAAATAATTATATCTGCTCTACTCTGTATTGAGCACTCTTTTAAGAATAGTAATTGTTGGTTACTGGAATTCATTCCGTATACACCAATCATATACTTGGGTATATATATATATATATATATATATATATATATATATATATATAGACTGGCTGAAAACATGATAATTTAAAAGTTTTCGTGTGACGCGTTTTGTCCTTTCAGACGTCCTCAGACTAAATTTATGTTGGTGCGACTACACATGCACACGTATTTTATTTTTTATTTTTATTTTTCATATAATATAATTAATTTCATATAGTTTTTTTTATGTATATATATAAATATATACGTGTTTGCATATGTGTGCGTGTGTGGTTATGTGTGTGTTTGTTATTATTTTAAATGTTATATACGTTAATATCATGTTATGTATATAGTTGTATAAAATAATATGAATCAAGTAATATATAACAACATAAATAATAGATATATAACATATAGTTGTATAACGTATATAATATATAAATATGATATTGCATACAATATAGTAATATATTTGTAGAAATAATATATATAATGTATTAACAAGTAATACATATTTATATAATGTAATATGAAATAATGCTGCATTATTTAGGAATTATATATATATATATATATATATATATATATATATAAAAAAAAAAGAACAGTAAGATATATAATCCGGTGTTCTTATAGATATTTTTATTTTTACAAAATAGTGCTCAATGTAAATTTACAGAGCATTAATATTATAAATTAATTGATTTAAAATATGTTTCTTTCGCTACACAGTTCTAAACATGTTTCAAAAATGGTTTTTGAAACATGGTTAGAACTGTGTAGCGAAAAAAAACATATTTTAAATCAATTAATTTATAATATATATATATATATATATATATATATATATATATATATATATATATATATAATGTGACTCAGTGTGTCAAACATTTTCAACTTTACTCCTAGAGGCCGTAGCCCAACATCTCCCCGCCATTTTGAAATCAGGCTGACCCCGTGAGCAAGTTAAAAACATAATGGGAATAATCGAAATTAATTGTGAAATCCATCTAAATTTATATATACCGGTTGCAACTGCAAAAGTGGCCAAATCATGTTACAGCATTATTGTCCGTCCCATAAAATGATTAATATCTACAAAATGCCATTAAACTAATTGAGTTTCTTTTTTTTCAAGGTTTTCAGATAAGATGTTTTAGCCATCTTGACACTATTTATAGTAAGATTCACTGAAAAACCCTTTAAGCTATTCAGCTAGAAAAGAACAGGTTAAAATCATTTTGTGTCAGCCCGACTGTCTTCTTAAATGAGCAATGGTGTGAGGAAAAAACTTGAGAAGTTCAAAAAGAAAAAAAAAATTCAACCTCCGAATCTACTTCCCTTTACTATCTCAGGGAAACGTGCCTTTACCAGTTCGGCCATAATGACAGACTGTAAGAGACGATGTCAGAATTACTTGTTAAATAAAGCATGTTTTTCTCGTTAAGGCTTCTAGATCTGTCAGTTTCATTTTTAGAATCGAAACGTAAACGACAGTAATTTTTGAGAGGATTATTTTTATCCCACTTATTTCTTATTAATATAAACATTATTTTAGTGGGTACACGGGCTTAATTTTTTTCTCCTTAAATATATTACATATATATTGTTGTGGATTCCGTGAATGGAATCCTGCACAAATAAATAAACAACGCCAGTAATTGAGATGGAAAAATAAGTGTATTAAACGTAAAAATACAGTGAAGATTAGTAGTCCAGGAAAGCGGGTTAGTAGAAAGTATATGTACAAGTCTCTGTAAGTATAGTATATTGTCATCCACAGACACAGACACACACACACACACTATATATATATATATATATATATATATATATATATATATATATGCAAGCAGACGCACGCACACTTTTTATTTAGTGTTTACTAAAGTAAATATTTGTTTATATGTTATTTATCTATTATTTCATTTTTGTTTAGTAACTTGTAGCTTTTAAATATTAAGGCATTAATTATGGAAGGTTATGTTTGTTGTTTGTTTGTTTGTTTGTGTGGGTGTGGGTGTAATGATAATAACTGGCCACTCGTATTTGAGGATACCCGTCTACTCAGGCGGCTAGTAATCCCTATTGCAGACGCCCGCTCAGGCAAACTTGTGCTTGTTCAACACACACAGTGCAAGGATACTAAAACAATTTAACCCATTCGTGCATTTTGTACATTTTGTAGAATGTCGGGTTCCACAAAATTTAAAGTCTGCAGTCCTAAGATTAACATTGGCCAATATGATAGGCAAAAAGAACTAAAATTTCAACGGCAATGCATGTATGTAGTAATTGGTTAATTCAGTTATTAATTAATGGAGTTTAAATGCAGTTATTAATTAGTGGAGTTTAAATGAATGCATGCAAGAATTCACATCTCTAGTATCACAGTCATTCTTGAATTTTCCGTCCGCCCTCGTAAAACTGATATAAAGAGTTTATATACTATATTCTCACAAAGGTAATTAAATATAATCATCATTTTTTCCTGTTAAATGCAAATGAGTCATGTAATCTAAATAAATAACGGCAATTTCTGTCTGTCCATTTTTGTATCTGAAACCCCGCTTGCTCTCCATAAACATATTATACCTTTTGGGAATCAGGATGATTCTGGGCTTGAAAATCAGCTCTTCATCTGGTGCTTGAACATCCCGAATTGGGACTTGTGTTCGGATGAGGAAGGAATAGTTAAAAATTCACATTTTAAAATAACTTAAAAAAAATTAATTTATATTGAGTTTAAAGTAACACAAAAACTTCATGAATTTTAAAACATTTGTTTTAAATTAAATCTAAAATATCTCCAAAACTTTGTGAATTGAGGAAATCAATTTTATTTCTTCAAAACGCCAATGAATCAGATTTAAAGTGAAAGGTTTCTTGAGGTGAGGTTTTTTTAAGTTCCGCAGTGTTTGTGATTTGAAGAACATAACTTAATTAAAGTCCCACGGAGTTTGTGATTTGAAGAACTTACTTTTCGGCCCAAATCAGAGTTTCGGGTGTTTTAGTCAGAACTTACTGCCCTAATTAGAGTTAAAGTGAGATTTGGAAATTCCATGGAATGAATTGAGTAATTAAAGGTTATTTCTTCAAAATTATCATTGGTGTTTTCTAAGCTGGACCAGAGGTCCCTTTAGTGTTGGGACGGAGTTTCAATTCGCCCTCCGCAGCAGCTAACATAAAAGTCCGCACAGGGTGCTGATTTTAAGCTAGTAAAATTATCAAATACATTTTATTAAAAAATATATAAATGTTATGTATTTAATGTTTAATATAAAACAGTAATAAATTAAATTAAATGTTCACATATCTTCATATTAATTAGGAGTAATGTTCTGTGGCTTGATATTGAGCCAAATTCTTCAAGTTTTCTTTCAGCGTGACGTTTGGCATCGTTTTGTAAAGTCTCTTTTTTCAGTCTTTGTTTTTGTTGCTTTGTTGTTGTTTTTGTTCTTGTTTTTTCTCACTCTTCTGCTTTTCTAAAATCTGTTAAAAAAAAGAGCAGGTTTTCTTTTTCTCGCTTACATGGCTGGTTTGTTTGTTTTTATTTTATTTTTTTAACAAATAAATGCCTTTCATTATTAACGCCCATACAAGCAGTTTGTTTCCTCTCTCTCTCTCTCTCTCTCTCTCTCTCTCTCTCTCTCTCTCACACACACACACACACACACATGCGCATTAAATTATCTTTGTAAATTAATTTATCGTCTTCAATCTAAGATTTAATCAACTTGCATATTTTCTTTTTATTCCGCCAGGCAAAAAAAAATATGACTTGTCAAAAAATATCTCGAAGGGAAATCAAAAATCAGTTATGAAAGTCAGGAGTGTTATATTTCACATCGTCAATGCTTAACAGGTTGCTTAGAAAAAAAACAATTCTCGAACAGTAGAACACTGTGGATTGTCATAACTGCCAATGGTTATCAGTCGTAATTTCTTCAGTGGGGATATCCTAAGTGATTCAAAGTCTTCTCTTAAAGCCTAAATTTAACTGCATGCGTCCATTTGACTCAGGTCATTTTATTGTCATTATTTATTTCCCTCTTTTAGTTTACTTCTCTTGTCAAAGCCTGAATTGAAACTTTCAAATTTGGGGATGGTCTTTTTGTAAAAATCTGTGCAAATCTATCAGTCTAGCATAGTCTGATACTAGTTATTTGGGTTAGCTTATTCATATCTATCTATCTATTTATCTCACTGTCTTCATATTCATCTATCTATGTATCTATCTCACTCTGTTCATATCTATCTATCTATCTAAATATCTATCTATCTCTCACTGTTCATATCTATCTCACACTGTTCATATTTTGGATTTATCTATCAATTTCACTTTCTTCATATCTATCTACCTCATTCTGTTCATATCTATCTATCTATCTATGCATCATAGTCTATTCATATTTTAGTCTGTTCATATCTATCTATCTATCTCTCACAGCCTCTTCATATTTATCACAGTCTATTCATATCTATCTATATATCTAATTCTCACACACTATTCCATCTATCTATCTATCTATCTATCTATCTATCTATGCATCACAGTCTATTCATGTCTATCTATTTTAGTCTGTTCATATCTATCTATCTCTCATAGCCTCTTCTTATTTGTCACAGTCTATTCATATATATCTATATATCTAATTCTTATACCCTATTCCATCTATCTATCTATCTATCTATCTATCTATCTATCTATCTATCTGTCTGTCTATCTATGCATCACAGTCTATTCATGTCTATCTATTTTAGTCTGTTCATATCTATCTATCTAACTATCTCTCATAGCTTCTTCATATTTATCACAGTCTATTCATATATATCTATATATCTAATTCTTATACCCTATTCCATCTATCTATCTATCTATCTGTCTGTCTGTCTGTCTATCTATGCATCACAGTCTATTCATGTCTATCTATTTTAGTCTGTTCATATCTATCTATCTAACTATCTCTCATAGCCTCTTCATATTTATCACAGTCTATTCATATATATCTATATATCTAATTCTTATACCCTATTCCATCTATCTATCTATCTATCTATCTATCTATCTATCTCATTTTTTTGTATCTCAATTGACTTACATCTATCTTTTTAATACAATTCATCCCAAGCAAGATGACAAGACCAGAAGCAAGAAACCCATTCCTAAAAAGTAAACCAGATTGAAAAGTCTAGTGAGGGTGTGAAAATGGATGATAGGGGAACCTATCTACACATATTGAAGAGAAAAATAAATAAATAAATTGTAAATAAAATTTAGAGTTCAGGTGGAAATGTTAGCGGTATAGCAATGAGTTTAGAAGAACCGGAATTCCGATCCTAAATAGGAAATAAGGCATTAAACTGTACTCCTGGTTAAAAACACTGTGGAGGTCTCAGAACCGAACGATAAGTGAATAAATCTATCTATCTATCTATCTATCTATCTATCTATGTCTCTGCAAATCTATCTATCTATCTATCTATCTATCTCATTCTGTTCATTTCCATCTATCTATGTATGGATGTATCTATCTATCTCATTCTGTTCATTTCTATCTATCTATCTATCTATCTATCGATTTCAGTTTATTTATATCTATCGGTTTAATTTCTATTCCATTCTGTTCACATCTAATTTCCTGTTAGCGCATTTATCTATCTAGCTATCTAATACCGTATCTCTGTTTTCATCTATCGATATATTTCAGCCTGTTTACATCTATCTATCTAATTCTGTTTACATCTATGTTTGTATGTATGTATCTATCGTTCTCAAATTTAAAAGCCTTGATAAACAAATATCATCCTTGTTCTTGTATATAAACACGTGCAACAAAATAAATCCTATATTTGCCTTGATAAAGTCTCTCAGAGAGTGAAACACGTCGGCTAAGAATACTTTTCCTCTTGTCTTTTTATTCACACACACATATATATATATATATATATATATATATATATATATATATAATGATGATAAGAAGTCGGAGACTTTAATCATCCATTTCGATTATATATTTATTACGGTTTTACGGAGGAGATTTCGATTCGAAGAGTTGAACATCACTGTGTTCACGAAATAAATTTATAATCAAAATGGATAATTAAAGTTTCCATCGTCTTATTATCATTATAATAATCTGTAGTCTACATTGAGCACTCCCTGGATTTATATATCCTCCTCGGAATTCTCCCTTCCAGTCACAAAATGGTAAGACGTTTATATATATATATATATATATATATATATATATATATATAACAGCAAGAGGGATCATCATTTCAACTTAAAGCTAAAGAGATCATTGAGTAAAGGTCCAGCTCAATCCATAAGACGTTTGAGACATGAGAGAAGAGTTTCAGCTATGACAGTACAAAGAGCAGTGAAAAAAGACTTGAAAATAAAAATGTACGTGAAATCTGTGAGGCATATTTTCAACCAAGACTAGAGTGCTCCGTCTACACTACTATTTCACCCATAGTTTTGGGGTAGAGTTATGCCTTTACAAAATTTATTTGTGCCAATTCTACTATCCGTGTAGGGAGCATACATATGCACACACACACACACGCGCACACACACACACACACACACACACACACATATATATATATATATATATATATATATATATATGTTGTGATGATATAACCCAACTTCCCCATTCACGATAATGGACGGACTGGTTGCCGATTAAGTACGACCACAGCGGACAGTCGTGAGGAAAAGGTCTTCGTTTGTTAACACCTATTGAGGTTAGCATACTTCTGACTCTGTCTCAGTATTTTGACATACCTACATCCGATTATAAAATTATTATTGAAAAACCAACACTCGGGTTTACTTTGTTTATTATATCTTGCACGAGATATAACAATATATATACATATATATATTAAGACATTTTTATGTTTATACATTCTTTTTATAGATACAAATATTTAAGTAAATGCTCTGTTTATAATAAACAGTATTAACAACATTTACCGACCTGAATGTCCGAGAAATTTTCATAGAAAATATTCGTCCTCCGACTTTTTCTGTGAAAATTTCTCGAACATTCAGGCCGGTAAATGTTGTTTAATACTGTTTATTATAAACAGAGCATTTACTTAAATATTTGTATCTATAAAAAGAATGCAAAACATAAAAATGTCTTAAAATAATTGTCGGACTTTGTCCATTTCATAATATATATATATATAACATGCTATGAAGAAATCGAAGTTTTTGACTGGCACAAGGCGGCGTGATAAGCACTAAAATGAAAGCGAAAAACACAAAGAACAAATGCAATGAAAAATATGTCCTGACAATAGTTTCTCCACCATGACAATGCTTCTGAGCCTGATGTGTTATAAGTTTGCGTGTTCGCGTTCAAGAAACCCATCACAAAAATGGGCCATCTACCTTATTCACTATATTCTTCCCCACCACCACCGAACGTTTTGTTTTCAAATTTGAATAATCACCAGAAATGTCTAAGATTGGCTGACCTTCCTGACATCTAGCAGCACAAGGAATACATTACTGAGGTGGAGTCGAGAAAACATGTTCCATTAATGTTTCCAGCGATGGCACTATGGTCTCACGAAGTGCATACTTTCACAAGGGGATGGTGCACTTTGCTTTCAGAAGGGCACTCCAGGAATTAAATTGCCACGTACGCTAAATATATAAGACAATTTCGTAAACTTTTACTTTGACAGATGAACAGGCGAAATTTTCTATATATATATATATATATATATATATATATATATATATATATATATATTCTTAAGATATACGAAAATATAACTTGGAATTGTAATTTTTACCTTTCATCACACCATTTCCGCTTTTGAATAAGATGAGGTTTATACAAGAAGCGAGATGTTTTATATACAAAGCCTGTCTCACAGCGAGATTTTTTCGTTAAAGTGATTGATATAAAATGTTTGTGTTTTGACCATAATTTTCCTTGTTTTTTGTTTGTTTGTTTTTTTTTTTGTTGTTTTTTTTTTTGTAAATTGTGGTTGGCTAAGTACTTTTTTATACCACTTTGATCAGATAAGTAATATTTGAGGCGTCTACTCAAGGAGATGTTATTATGCCCGGTATTGGTATTTGATTTACGACAAGAAACACAGACTTGTACTAAGAAGTAAAATTGAAATACTATATAACTAGTTTAGATTTGATGGGAATAAATATATATATATTTATATATAGAGAGAGAGAGAGAGACATTGAGAGAGAGAGAGATAGAGAGAGAAAGAAAGAAAGAAAGAGATAGATAGATAGATAGATAGATAGATAGATAGATAGATAGATAGATAATGTGTGTGTCCACTGAAGTCAAAATCGAAGGGTGAGGGTTTATTTCATCTTTGAACACGGTCTTCAGGCTATTTTGTGTTGTGTGTTAGCTTAACTGTTTATATATGCTTGTCAGCGATGTATTATGGGTAGCAAGGCCATGTATTTCCGGTTTATTTTATTATCCTGATATATATATATATATATATATATATATATATATATATATATATATATATATATATATATATATATATAGTAGCTACCAATAACGATATTCTGACCAAAAATTATTTCTAACCTTATAGCCTTTGGAAAAAAAATTTTTTTTTATCATTTCACCCAAACGAGGTGTCACTAACACACACAAGGGCTTACTGGGAGTGGAAAAGAATGAGAAACTTCAATGAGGAGAAAAGACAATAGAAGAACAGGTTTCAGGAAGACAGAAGATTGCAATTGATGCTGCGTTTAAATTTTTGAAGATTGTAGGTGGCAAGGATGCATTTTCAAATCTGACAATTGGCACTTACACATTAATCGTTAGAACAATACAATAAACCGAAAACACTTTATCTTGCTCCCCATAATATCTCATTGACCAGCATATCTAAATAGTTGAGCTACCACACAACAGATGTAGCTTGAAGACTGCGTTTAAGCATGAAACCGTCAATGATAGGATAAGGAAAAATTAGAAACGTTTATAAATCTAACACATATTGTTTTTATTGATCTTCCTTAGAGAATGAAATATGAAAGGAAGTCAAAAAAATTGGTAATTTTAATTTTTGTATTCATTGATTAAGTAGACTTCACATTTACCTG